GCAAACTCATTTTTTCGATCACGAATAGTAGGTATAGTATTGTCCCTATCCCAGCAGGTAAGACCGTAGAAGTGTTGTCCCAAAAAATGTTAAAAATCTCCAACTGGCCGACCCCATAAACCGCGTTGCATTTTCCAACTTTAATATTTTAGCATCAAAACAAAACTCGTTGAAAAATCCCATGTGGAAAAAGTCGACGGATATCGGAACGATCTGAAAGCTCTGAACTAGTTGCAAAGCGTCGTTCAAGCAAAACTAGCTCATCCCCACAATCCAAACTCTTTCTTCATCTTTCAGATTCCGATCCGACGACGACTCAGTTGTGACCATGGCTGAGTTGGTGGGCGGAGCTTTTCTCTCTTCTTTCCTCAATGTTTTGTTCGATCGGATGGCTTCCCGTCCCTTCCTCGATTTCATCTCTGGGAAGAAAAACGACAACGAGCTGCTTATGAGGAAGTTGAAGATCAAGTTGCTCACTGCTAACAAGCTGGTTGACGATGCGGAGGAGAAGCAGATGACAAGCCCGACTGTGAGGAAGTGGCTCGACGATCTCAAAGATGCTATCTACTGTGTAGGAGAGTTGCTGGATGAGATCAACACTGAAGCTCTTCGACGCCAACTGGAAGGTGACGATGACCATTCTCTTGCAGCTAGCAGCAGCACAAGCTGGATCTCAAGATCAGTTTCTGCGTCCGATGAATTTCACAACTCTCTTGAACCGAAGATATCAAAGGTTCTGCGCGTGTTAGACCTCATTCTCAATGAAAGAGACGCTCTTGGTCTGAAAGAAGGAGTTCAACATAGACCACAAGAAAGAAATCGTCAAACTACTTCACGGGTCGATGAGTCTGGCGTCTTCGGAAGGGAAAAGGACAGAGAAACGATTCTTAAAGCATTGCGTTCGGATGATACGACTGGCGCTAAGATAGGAGTTCTTCCCATCGTGGGCATGGGAGGGATCGGGAAGTCCACCCTTGCTCAACTTGTGTACAAAGATATCAAGGATGACTTTGATGTCCAAGCATGGGTTTGTGTCGGAGAAGAATTTGGTATTCTTCAAATAGCACAAACAATATATGGGAGAATCACAGCTCAAACTTCCAAGATCACAGATCTGGATCTGCTTTCTGAAAAATTGGAGAAGGTTTTGACAGGAAAAAAGTTCCTCTTCGTTCTTGATGATGTTTGGAATGAAGATTATGATGATTGGAATAACTTGATGACTCACTTCAATAGTTGCGGAGGACATGGAAGTAAGATCATTGTCACAACACGACTCGGACGCGTTGCATCTATCACGGGGACTCTTTCGACACATTATCTACGGATAATATCTGAGGACGATTCTTGGTTGTTATTTGCAAAGCATGCGTTCACAAATGCCAGTGTTGATGGCGCACATCCGGAGCTTGAAGTCATTGGAAGACAAATTGTTAAGAAGTGTCAAGGCCTTCCTTTAGCTATAAAATCATTAGGAGGTCTATTACACTCTAATTCGAACCCAAAGGAATGGGAAAAGATATTGAAGAGTGACTTATGGAAGTTGTCGAACGATAAGATTTTACCGGCTTTATGGTTAAGCTACCATTATCTTCCACCACATCTCAAGCGTTGTTTTGCTTATTGTTCAATATTTCCAAAAGGTGACAAATTTACAAAATCAGGGTTGACCTTATTGTGGATGGCCGAGGACCTCATACAATCCAACGAGGAGGGCGTATTGGAACCGGAAGAAGTTGGAAGTGATTACTTTGATATTTTATTATCACGGTCTTTCTTTCAACATTCAGGTGAATTATGGGGTGAGTCATATTTTACCATGCATGACCTTATCAATGATTTAGCAAAGTTTGTATCTGGAGAGTTTTGTTTGAGATTGGAGGAAAATCAGTCGCCCAACAAAAATTTATGCAGAACTCGTCACTTTTCATTCATGAAATTTGGAGGTCGTGGCATTCAGAAATTTGAGGCTCTGGATGAGGCTAAGCACTTGCACACCCTTCTACAACTTCAACACAGACCAGATTGTGGAGGTAATACGTTGGTATTGGACTACACACTTGTTGATTCATTACCAAATCTACCATGTTTAAGAGTGCTCAAGTTATCTGCTATCGTTGAGTTGCCTAGCTCAATTGGCAACTTAAAACAATTAAGGCATTTGGACGTGTCTGGTACTTCCATAATAGAATTACCTGAGACGGTGTGCACCTTATACAATTTACAGACCTTGTTATTGTTTGGTTGTCGTTGTCTGATTCAACTACCATCCAATTTGGGAAGGCTAATCAACTTGCGCCATCTCAACATCCATGACACAGAGATTCATAAGATGCCTGCAGGGATGTGTAATTTGAAAAATCTCCAAATATTAAGCGATTTTGTGGTGGACAAACAAACTGCTCAAAGGATTGGAGAGTTAAAAGAACTTCAGCATTTGCGCGGAACACTTTTAATCTTAGGAGTTGGTAACGTTAAGGGGAATGCTTTGGAGGCAGATATCATGAGCAACAAGGAGTATCTGGACCAACTTGTTTTGACATGGGGACGAGGTTATGATGCTAGTAATCATGATCCAGAAAATGACAGAGAAATACTCAACAAGCTCCAACCTCATACAAACCTCAAACAACTTGAGATTATGTCTTACGGGGGTTTAAGATTTCCAGGTTGGTTAGGAGATCCATATTTCTCTAAACTATTTTCTATTCAACTTACAGTTTGCAAACATTGCTGCTTATTGCCACCACTTGGGCAACTACCCTCCCTCAAACAACTTCATGTTCGATGGATGAATAATGTGGTTGAGATTGGTAGTGAGTTTTACGGTAATGATACTTGTGGGATTACTCCATTTAGATCTCTACAACAATTGTTCTTCATAGATATGTTGGAGTGCAAAAAGTGGTCATATTACGATGGAAGCAGAGGCAACACCACAATACTGTTTCCTAATCTTCGTGAGCTTGTACTGAGTAGATGTCCCAAGCTAACTGAGATAGTACCGTTGGAGAAGCTGCCAAGGCTTGAAAGCGTACAACTGTGGGACCTAGAATCCTTCAATGGTTCACTTGCACATGTGGAATCTGAATGCCCTAAATTCCTCTCCCTCGTTCACTTGGGAATACACAACTGCCCAAATTTTGTATGTTTTCCAGATGGAGGGATGGATGCACCCAAGTTGGAGGAGCTGCGTATCTCTCAATGCAAGAAATTGAGGTCGTTGCCAGAACAAATGCATACCCTCCTACCGTCTCTTCAGAAATTGGACGTATTCGGCTGTCCAGAAGTGGAATCATTTCCTCAAGGAGGGTTGGCGTCAAATATACAAGACCTTTCTTTTCAGTGTTGTAGAAAACTCGCTGCAAACTGCTCACTGTGGGGTTTAACAAGACTCAACTCTCTTAGAAAGTTGAAAATCAACTTCACTGAAGAAGGTGGAGAAGAAGTGGGATGTTCGTTTCCGGATGAGGAGCAGCTACCCACCACTCTCACTAGTCTCTCCATCCTCAATCATTCGAATCTTACAACCATCCAAGGCAAGGTGTTGAGACAACTCACCTCTCTTGAATGCTTAATAATAGACAGATGCTATGAGCTCCAGTGCTTTCTTGAAGAAGCGCCAAAATCTCTGAAAAACTTGACTATTAGGGTGTGCCCTAATATCAGGTGCTTGCCAGGAAAATGGCTTCCCACGTCTCTTTCTCGACTAGAAATCCAGTGGTGTCCGCTGCTAGAACAACGATTCCAGAGAGAGACAGGGGAAGATTGGCCCAAGATTGATCACATCCCCAGCGTGAGTATAATATAGATGTTCTTGAAATTAGCTCTTTCTCTCTCTCTCTCTCTCTCTCTCTCTCTCTCTCTCTGGTGTGTGTCTATCCAGCAGCACTTGCTCTTGTTGGGCAGTGTTGAATTTGCCACAAACTTCATAATGAAACAACAAAGGGGGAGCTGGTATAACTATTGTTTTGCGATAGAGTAGGTACATGATTACTGGGCTAAAACAAGAGCAAATTTGATTTCGTAAATTTGTCTATTCGAATGTATATGTATAACCTTGCTCATTATCATTGTATGTATCATGTTGACTTTAAATTTGATAGGGCCATCAAGTTTAGCTCCTCCTAATGCCATTAAATTCGTCACTGTTTGATTAAAGTCTGCCGCTGTCAAGAACAAAAGTGAAGACTTTCCATTCTGCATGGCATGATCCCTGTCAAATTTTAATCATTAGCACATCCCAATTTCATTCTAAACACAAAGCTTAAATCCAATTACTGCTCAAATAAAACCATAATACCAAAAACTAGAAAAAATCATAAAATCGAAAAAACCCAAGAAATTCAAAGTTTTACGCTTTCAATTTATGAAAAACAAGAACAAGCAGTATAATTTGTCGTAAAGGATGTGTAAAAATATGGTTTAGACAAATCATCAAACATCTGGTGTGCATCGAGCACCCAGTCTCATAGAATGGAGAGAGAGATTGAGAGAGAGAGAGTTACTTGGGGGATTGCATCGAGCACCCATCTGGTGTGCCCAACTGTAGCTCCACCCGTCGAATAGTGCAGACATTGACGGCGAAGTCCAACCTTTCGGCGTTGAACCGGGTGGCTTTTGGCACGTCCTTGTGCAGCTGCAGTAGCTACCTAAATGACACCGCTACCATCCTTGATTATTGTATGTATTATACAAAAGTAATTTCTAATTGTAACTTGTGTAGGATTTCCTATCTAAAGAGGAAGAGAGATTGATATAACTCTCTCTCTCTCTCTCTCTCTCTCTCTCTCTCTCTCTCTATATATATATATATATAGGGTAAATCGCCAAAATGGTCCCTGAGAATTACCTGAGACGGTGTGCATCTTGTACAATTTACAGACCTTGTTATTGTTTGGTTGTCGTTGTTTGATTCAACTACCATCCAATTTGGGAAGGCTAATCAACTTGCGCCATCTCAATATCCGTGACACAGAGATTCATAAGTGCCTGCAGGGATGTGTAATTTGAAAAATCTCCAAACATTAAGCGATTTTGTGGTGGACAAACAAACTGCTCAAAGGATTGGAGAGTTAAAAGAACTTCAGCATTTGCGCGGAACACTTCTAATCTTAGGAGTTGGTAATGTTAAGGGGAATGCTTTGGAGGCAGATATCATGAGCAACAAGGAGTATCTGGACCAACTTGTTTTGACATGGGGACGAGGTTATGATGCTAGTAATCATGATCCAGAAAATGACAGAGAAGTGCTCAACAAGCTCCAACCGCATACAAACCTCAAACAACTTGAGATTATGTCTTACGGGGGTTTAAGATTTCCAGGTTGGTTAGGAGATCCATATTTCTCTAAACTATTTTCTATTCAACTTACAGTTTGCAAACATCGCTGCTTATTGCCACCACTTAGGCAACTACCCTCCCTCAAACAGCTTCATGTTCGATGGATGAATATTGTGGTTGAGATTGGTAGCGGGTTTTACGGTAATGATACTTGTGGGATTACTCCATTTAGATCTCTACAACAATTGTTCTTCATAGATATGTTGGAGTGCAAAAAGTGGTCCTATTACGATGGAAGCAAAGGCAACACCACAATACTGTTTCCTAATCTTCTTGAGCTTGTACTGAGCAGATGTCCCAAGCTAACTGAGATAGTACCGTTGGAGAAGCTGCCAAGGCTTGAAAGCGTACAATTGTGGGACCTGGAATCCTTCAATGGTTCACTTGCACATGTGGAATCTGAATGCTCTAAATTCCTTTCCCAAGTTCACTTGGGAATACACAACTACCCAAATTTTGTATGCTTTCCAGATGGAGGGATGCATGCACCCAAATTGGAGGAGCTGCATATCTCTCAAGGCAAGAAATTGAGGTCGTTGCCAGAACAAATGCATACCCTTCTACCGTCTCTTCAGAAATTGGAAGTGTTCAGTGGTCCAAAAGTGGAATCTATTCCTCATGGAGGGTTGCCGTCAAATTTACAAAACCTTCGTCTTGACTGTTGTAGAAAACTCGCTGCAAACTGCTCATTGTCGGGTTTAAAAAGACTCAACTCTCTTTAGATATTTGAAAATCTTTTTCACTGGAGAAGGTGGAGAAGAAATGGGATGTTCGTTTCCGGATGAGGGGCTGCTGCCCACCGCTCTCACTCATCTCACCATCCGCAATCTTCCGAATCTTACAACCATCCAAGGCAAGGTGTTGAGACAACTCACCTCTCTTGAAGACCTCACAATATACAGATGCCCTGAGCTCCAGTGCTTTCTTGAAGAAGCGCGAAAATCTCTGAAAAGCTTGACTAATAGTAAGTGCCTTAATATCAGGTGCTTGCTAGAAGAATACCTTCCCACGTCTCTTTCTCGACTGAAAATCTGGAGGTGTCCGCTGCTAGAAGAAGGATTCCGGAGAGAGACGGGAAGATTAGCCCAAGATTGATCACATCCCCAGCGTGAGTATAACATAGATGTTCTTGAAATTAGTTCTCTCTCTCTCTCTCTCTCTCTCTCTCTCAGGTGTATGTATCCAGCAGCACATGCTCTTGTTGTGCAGTGTTGAATTTGCCATAAACTATTCCTAATGCAACAACAAAGGGGGAGCTGGTATAGCCCTTGTTGTTTTGCGATGGAGTAGTACTATGTACATGATTACTAGGCTAAACCAGAGCAAATTTGATTTTTTCAATTTGTCTATTCGCATATATAACCTTGCTCATTGTCATTGTATGTATCATGCTGTCTCGATCGTCACTGTTTGATTGATGTCTGGCACCGTGAAGAACAAAAGTGAAGAGTTTCCATTATGCATTGCATGATCCCTGTCAAACTTTAATGATTAGCAGATCCCAATTTCATTCAAAACACAAAGCTTAAATCCAACTACTACTAAAATAAGACCACATTACCAAAAACTAGAAGGGAACATAGAATCGAAAAAACCCAAGAACTTCGAAGTTTTACGCTTTGAATTCACGAAAAACAAGAACAAGCAGTATAGTTTGTGGCAAAGGTTCACACAAATCATCAAACATCTGGTGTGCATCCAGCACCCAGCCTCAGAGAAAAAAGAAAGACATAGTTTACTTGGGGGATTGCATGAGGGAAAGCTTGAGTGAGCCGAACTGTAGCTCCGCCCATCGAATAGTGCATACATTAACGGTGAAGTCCAACCCTTCGGCGTTGAACCGGGAGGCTTTTGGCACGTCCTTGTGCAGCTGCAGTAGCCACCTAAACGACTCCGCTGCCATTGTTTCCCTCGCTTTCTAGGATATGTACTTCTGACTGAAGGAAACTGACTCACTGGTTGTCGTTTTAGCCGTGAGTCGTGGCTGATATTAGACGACATGTCGTTTTGAAGGTCTCAAAGTTAAATTGGGGGATTAACTTGTGATGCATGGGCCCGGATACATATACTCAGCTTATATTGGTCTCACGCCTAAACTATGTTGTTATACAGAAAATTTTCTTATCTGGACGTAAATGTCGTTCGAGGTCGTCATTCAATTTGTTACATTTTATGATGAAAGTTGTGTTTTAGCTTTGGTTGGCTCCTGTTTTCATAATTTTTTTCTTTTTCAATTTTTGACCTAATTTTAGACATGATCGCTTCTTTTGGGGTATTAAGAGATTCTATAAGCTTAAGTTTTATGATTGAACTCTCAGAGTGTTTGGTAACTGAAATCTAAAACCTAAGTGAGAAATTTGTGTTGATCAACTGGAAAGATAGACCATGTGACAAAATTGATATCGGCATGAAAAATCAGACATTAAAGTCCACATAAGAGACAAACTACTTCGTTGTACATATTGTTTAACTAGAGTCAATTACTCCAGAATCATCTCCGTGATCAAAAAATACTCTATATTATAATGATTTATCTAAATTAAACAAAGAATCATATTTCTACGCATATTAAACAGTTGCCTCTATTTGTTTTGTCATCTTCACTCCTCTTTTGAAGTTGTTACAATATTTTAAATCCCTCCTAGGGTAGGAAATATGAGAAAGGTTGCTTTTTTGCTTAAGATTGAACAATAATAAGAATTGAACCATGCGGGCTGCCCTATATTCAAACAAATTAATATATCCCCCACGCCCAGAAATCGACGTAAATATTTTTAGTACATATTTTCGTGTCTAGAGTGTCATGGAAATGATTAAGCTTGGACAAGTTGTGGTTAAGATTGGGAAGCTGGGTGAGATTAAACATGATTATATTGCTGTGAATTAGATTATTGCATACAGAATAACATAGCTGCAATAATTTAGAATGAAACTCATCTTTCTTGAGAACCTAACGTAAAAATTCCAACATGAGTTTTGCAAATTTCATATTGGATCCTCCCTTATTACTTGTTTTGTAGTCTCCTACTCTATACAGTAATAATGCAAAAGCATGCGCAGCAGCTTTCACATTGAAAAGCCGATATTTGAGTAAAAACAACCAAAATGTAAACTTCATGTTATTTGGCTACAAAAGAGGATAATCCTCTGGCCAAATTTAACATCAAAAGTAAACTAGCTGTAGCTGCAACCTACTCTAAAGACACAAGGTTATTACTAAGCGCTTCATCATCATCGTCATTAACTTTTGCTACTCGCTCATCCAGGTACAAGCTCAAGCCTCTCTCTGTGTTTCCCTTTTGAAAAGCTCATTAAACTGTATAATGTTGTTGAATTGTATCGATGTCGAGTCCCTTCAGCTTCACAATTGACTCAATATGACCCTTGAGCATATGCAACTCACGAAGCCTACAACCAGAATGAAAAGCTCTTTTAGAACTCAATTCTAACGTGGAACAAGTCCAACCAGCAAAGGAAAACAATGCAAGATGAAGCATTTTCCAGGAAACAAGAAAGTGAACCGGCAGACATCATTACGGAGGCCGCATGTTTCTTTATCTATGTATGAGTGCAAATGATCCTTACCTTGCAACCTCAGCCCTCCGCTTGGCTTGTTCTGCAATCTCGGAAAGCTCCCTGTAACTTTTCTTCTCATTGAAAAGGTTGGTTGTTTCAGGTGGCTGAAGACCGTGAAGGGTCCTCTGTGCTGCAGCCCACTGTGCTTCTCTCTCCTATTTTCCATAATCTTTCTTTGTAGTGAAGGTAGTCTGGTGGGAAAGACACAACAATGTAAATTGTGGCAAGAAACATGAATCTAACTTATATTGTCGAGTAGTGCTTACAATGTAGTAGAACGCAACATACCTTGTTCTCCAATAGATTATTCCATGCTTTTTTGCTTTGAATGTACCGTATTGCGAATTTAAGAAAGTCAAGAGGGACGTATGTCACTATGCTTTTTTGCTTTTATTCATGGGTTGCTAGCTCAAATATAGTGCAATCTAACGTTTTGATGCATACTTGATTCGGTCTCATATGCGATATGTTGTAATTCTTTCTAATTTCATTGTTTATCTATCTATCTGTGTTGATCAGGCGGTATTGGAAACAGTTGCGAGAGTAAAGTCGAAGAAAAATGAGACGAAAGAAGAAAAGTACATGCTTCTCACTTCAATTCAGTACAGTTTTTCATATATTCTTTGTCATTTGAATCTAGCCATTATGGCATGTTCTCACTAACTCTGTTGTAGTATAAATAGGTCGTTTCAACTACATGATCTGGATAATGATAATAGAGGAGAAGATACACCAACACTGGTTGATACAATTTATTACTTTCGTATTTGAATTGCATTTTAAAGACACAAAAGATACAATTTGTAGTGTGTTTCATTCATATTTTAATTTCTACACTATAGTTCGAGTGCCAAAAGTTTAATTGGAATTTGTCAAAAACACTATATATGTCATTTGACTTTTTTAGTGTTTGGGTTTGAAGCTGGTGTTTTCTATTGTTTGCGTTTGAAGGGGGTATGTGACGTGCATGTTAGCAATTGGCTCTCAACCCATTTCATTTCAAGAGAAGAATCCCAATGTCATTGGATGCTTGTGGTATATTTGTTTCTATTTTTCGTCTTTTTTATTATATTTTTTTCATGTCATTATTTTAAAATATTTTGTATGTTGTCACTCAATTCAACATAAGAGGGTTTTTCATACTCAAGACTGCAGGTTAGCATTCATTGACAAGTATTGATTAGGATGTAATCCTCTACCGCTTTTGGCTAATTTTGTGTTTAAAATGATTTAGCTAATGTTGATTAGGATGCAAGTCGTTCATAGAAATTTTGCTTCTTTCTTTGTTCGTTCACTTAGAAAGTTCTGTAATTTTCTAAAGGAAATTCCTTAAATGATTGAAATTTGGCAGGAAAAGAACCACAGTTAAGACTATGAAATACAGTTTTGTACTCAAGGTAAGCAATTTGAACTTTTTGGGTTATTGAAATCAGAGTATTGAATTACAGTTTCTGTTTAGATGCTTGGAGAGATAGGAAACTGCAATTTACTGTTGGATATGCACCATAAGAAACTGCAGTTTACATTTGGACTTAATTCTTCACTGATGATATGTTGTGATGGGGTTTAGTAATTTTCAGTATTCTTATTCTTTTTAATCTGCAAAATCAAATAACCCATGGAATTTATGACATACAATCTGTTTCCTTTCAGTTGGGCTGAAATGATATTGATTGTGCCGTTATAAAGCTCCTTTTTATAGTTAGGTTGAAAATCATATTAATAGATTATTTATTTGGTTGGTCTGATATGTAACAGATGGGATTGTTTTGTTTGATGTTTGAATCAAAATTTGATCTTTTTTTTGTGTGAAATTACAATGAAATCGCAAATTTGTGAAGTATATCTTAGATTATTTGGTTGGTCCGATCTGTAACAGATGAGATTGTTTTGTTAGATGTTTGAATCAAAATTTTATCTTTTTTTTGTGTGAAATTATGATGAAATCGCAAATTTGTGAAGTATATCCTAGATTATTGGTTGCATAGTCACCTTCCCACAACTATTACATTGTCTCTTGATTGGATGAATTTTTATAATTTCCAGGATCTACGGTTGCAATGCTTTTGATGCTGATAGGAGCATATTCATGCGACTTAAATGGCTTGTTCTCGTGCATTTACGTTATGTTTCTCTCGTTATTTTAGTCCTTTATGCTTCTTTTGTGTGTTTTCAGGTTCTAAGGGCTTAGGGAGCAAGAAAGTGCATTTTGAGGCTATTTGGGGCATTTTTGGGCATGGATTGGATAGCTTAATCATGGAGCAAAGAGGATGGACGAAATTGAAGCCTTGTATGCTCTTTGGGGAAATCAAACAAATCCTTTGAGCCATGGAAAACCTCTAGCCCAATCAAACATATTATGCCATGCAAACCAACCTATTTTAGGCCCATTCTATGTACTTAAACCCTAGCCCTTTAAACTAGCCTACTTATCACTTATCACTTCCATTCACTTATCACTCACCACTTATCATATCATTCACTTAACATATCATTCAATTATCATATCATTCAATTATCATATCATTCAATTATC